CCTCGGTTTTGGGGGGGAGGGCCCCCCCCCCTAACCAAAAACCCCCCCAAAAAAAAAAAAAAAAAAAAAGAAGAGAGAGATCAGTGAAGAAGTTCATGATGTCCCTGTTTATTTTCACTATGTTGTTAATTTTTATGTCACTATAATCTTGACTCATATTATGAGGTCTGTCATTGAGGTTTAAATGAGATAATATGACAGGCTTACGACATGGCATAGTATGCATCCACTGCTGGATCTGAATCTAGATCTTTTAAATGTAAATTAAAATTTACTTAATCAAACCCAATGCACATTGTTCTTTGAAGCATTCCAAAAAAGTTCTTGGCCACCTATTTTTGCTGTTTTCCTAAACTGGCATTTTCTACTGCTATACCAATGAACAATTGTCACCTTATCACCTCACAATGTTTTAAGGTCAGCACCCAAGTTAAATGTAAACATAATGATGTTATTCTAAATTTCTCTAAGAAAATACTCAAGTGTAGTTGAACAATAACTGATGCTTAAGTAGCAATTTCATCAGTGCTAATATATGTATAGTCAATTTCCATTATTCATAGTATTATACCCTGTAAGATCATGGAGAACGCAGAATTGGAGAGTACTGACTGAACCGCCCCTCAAGGGAGTGTGTGTGTGTATGTGTCTCAATCTCATGTAGAGTATAATCTAAAATTCTAAATACAGCTCATTATGGTATGTTCTAGTTCCTTTATCTTACAAGAGAAAATGCATTCAGCAGTGTTAGTGACTTGCATGAACATGCCCCACAGTTGAGATTCGAACCCAGTCAGGGCTGGGGCTTCTTGCACTGTACCGCACTGCACTTCTATCTCCATCCCCTGGCCATCTCTGCAGGAAAGCCAAAACCAGAAGGCAGCTGGGATCTCATGGGAGTGTATGCACAAGGCAACTTGAACTTGTACCATTTTATGCAGGTCCGTGAATGATCACCAAAGCTTCACAAGTACTGATTTGGGAGTTGGAAATAAACTTTATTCAGTAGACAAACTTGCAAATATAAAATTCAAGAATAACCATCATCTGCTGTTTAATTTAGCTCACTTACTATTTAGATAATAACTATCCAAAGGAGCTGACAAATGCAATTTGATCTACATGGGAGTGGAGAGGACATCATGAATAGCTTACCTTGTTTTGGAGTTTGGAAAGGTTTTCCACTTCCATTGTGGTGTTTTGCACCTCTATCGACCACAAAGCCAGAGGATAAAGTCACATTGGTGGGCTGATTTCTCATTTTCTTAGCATGTTTTCTTTCTTTTGCATTAGACATTTCTGGAGGGAAGATAATAAATTAATTCAGAGATAGGGAACTTCCATTCGAAAGTAAAAATGAATTTAATGATGGTGGCCAGATGTGGCACACTTGGAGGATGACCTACATGGAAGTTTCTGGGTTCGCGTGGAAACCTCCCTGAGTATGCCAGATGTACGTGTGCCCGTGATCCAGGGCTGGCTGGAGCCTGAGGTGCACTGCGGCACTGGGATCCTATTAGAAGTGTTATCTCTTTGTCTCTCTGTCTGTCTCCTTCTCTCTCTCTCTCTTTCTCTCTCATGGAAGAAATAAACTTTAAAAATACATAAATTAATTAAATATTTGTATGGCTCAAAATTTGATCCTTCGATATAATATATGTTAATTTTTTTTCTTTCTTTTTTTTCTACTTTTTTTTGGGGGTGGGGAGGTTTTTGCTATAGGGCATGTGCACTCACCAGAGAGACAGAGAGACAGAAAGCGAGAAATCATCTCCCGGGGGGATGGCCATGCCACAATCCCTTCTCCTCCATTCTCCTCTCGGGATTTTGGGCACAGATGCACATGCGCCTGGCATGAGTTTAAGCCACCAGGTCTGGAACTTGAACCGCAGTCGACTACATGGGGAGTTCAGTGACATAGCCATTACGCTAACTGCAGGTCCCAATCTTCCCTATTTTTATAGGTGGACTGATGTTATAAAAATGGCATCATGATAGTGAACTTCACCAGGGATTCACAACCTGAGGCACCTCCATGGGGACCATGAAGGGTATTAACACCAAAAACTTGATTCAATAGGAAAAGAATAATTCTGTTGATGGAAGAGACTATGTTAGTACATTTTGGCAATTTGCACTGCCAAATACTAGGTTGAGAAAGTCATGACGTGATTTTGTTTTTCCATGTAAAAATGCACCATGACTTGCCAACAACCCAATAATTAAATCAAATATTGACAATGCAAGAAGTCTGTTGGGATAATAAAAAATGACGTATGACTAAGATTGCTACACTGTGGTAAAATTAGGCCAGTCACAGTGGCCTGGCAGTAGGGCACTGCTATAAAATATTGGAGCTATATGAGAGGCCTCAATTTGATCCCTGGGTGAACTTGAACATGCTGAGCACAGTGATCCTGGTTTGGCTGGAAGGCTGGAGGGTTAGAGGGAAGAGGGCTGCAGTGTGGCAAGAACCTGTTTGTCTTGCTCTTTCTCCTTTTCTCAAGAAATAAACAAAATAAGCTTCAGGAAAATTAGGAGTCAAATGATGGCGCAGCAGTAACACACTGAACCCATATGAGAAGGCCCCCAGTTCAAGTCCCAGGGCCTGCCTATGTATGCTGGTCTAATGCACACGCGTGTGTGCCCACGATCCAGGTACATGTTCTCTCTTTCTCAGAGGAAAGAAATAAACTAAAAAATTTAACTGTAAGCCTTTTTAAACAAATCAGTTAAAACATTTTACATTGATTATTAAGTGAAATAATAGCCATCCAAATCAATGAAATATAGAACACCCTATTTAAAAGTGATAACCTCTATAAAAACTAAGTTATTGATACTTTCATTTCAACTACTGAGATGAGATCCACTCATTAATTTATGATGATTTCTGTTTAAACTAAGAAAGATAAAGGGGAAAACAAACAAAAAACAGAACATGATTAAGTTACTTGGTAGTTTACAACGCTCACACTTAATACCCCTGCTTTTTTTTTAAATGACCCCAGTTTGAAACACCTGATCTCTATTTTGAAATGAAGTTCATTAATACCATACATAACCTATTACACATTTAACTTTCATCAACACATGCCCCAGTTGTAAGATAAAGGACAATTTAAAAAATAACCACCAGGGCAAATAATGTGGCCTAGTGGTTAAGGGAGCAGGATCCCCCACGGCAAACCACAGTTTGAATCCTGGACCTGGCTTTTGCAAAATACACTGGGCACATGTGCATGTGTGCCCAAGATCCCAACAGGGAGGAGAATCGGAGAAGGGGCTGTGGTGTGACCACACTCCACTGGGGAGTGCTTTCTTCCTCCCCATCTGGCATGCACACTCTGGTGATTTAAAAAAAAAAAAAAAAAAAAAAAAATTCTTGGGCACAGACGTGC